CAAAACCTTTCATGAACGTGATGGAATTGATGATTGCTCAAATGAACTTGGAGTAAGAACCAGAAAAATACCGGATTCTAGGTTTTATGCAAGGACAAGTTGGAGAAATGACATCGGCCACATGCCTCATATTGCTAGATTGCATTCTTCTAAACCGGGATGGTGTTCAGGTACTTATGTACCGGTGTCGGAATACTTACAGGTGGATCTCGGAACCAGGAAAATATTAAATGGTGTTGCTATTCAAGGTCAAGGTATAGACGGCAGACATAGAATTTCTAAATTTAAAATAGAGTACAGTAATGACGGAATAAATTGGGAGTTTTACAATAGAGGTTTAAGCTCCGCTGTGGAATTGGACGGTCTACAAGGGGAACATACTGACCAATTTGAAACAAAGGTTAACTGGCTTCAAAACATACAAATGAGGTTCATTAGAGTTGTTCCAACAGCAAGAGCTTCTGATTATTCGACCTGTTTGAGAATGGAGTTATTTGGATGTTCCATATCAAAGGGTTTTGTAAGTGTAGAACTTTCGCCATCGTCTAGCATGTTTGTGAATGACATATTCACAGGTAAAATATCTCTCTTCGGTACCATAACGAAAAACATGTCAGTTCATATTTCTACGGCCCCAGATTTCTCTAGCCTTGCGACAAGCAATGATCAGTTTCACTTTCGCAGGATAAATGCATCGACAACAGTTGATAATGGAACTGTCATAATGGACAATGGGGAGATGAACCTGCTGACCGACTGGACTAGAAAGATTGATAATGAAGCTCTGATTCAGTTTGGTTTAAAGGGAGATATTTACTATGCATTTGAAGTCGACTTTGTCGGAAAGGTAGGCTTTGTTAAATTTTTTAAAGAATGATTTTCTAGCAAAAGATGCTGCTACCTATGCAGTATATCGGTATTAGAACCGCCCAGTTAACTCTTCTCGTGGTTTTACTTTCTTTCTTCAGATCATCTAGTTTTTCACAATTTTCTCTTTGTTTCAAAAAAGGATAGAAGAAATCATGATAACTCTCCATATTTTATTCAGGCCTTCCATTTGCAGCTTTTTTATCATGTTCGTACATCTCAATCAAATTGTTGCGGAGCTGATAATATTTGTTAATATACCGTCAGCGTTTCTTGATTGAACTGAGCATGTTTTCTTTTTACAAAACGTCACTGAAGCAACCGCTCGTCTTAGGAAATATGTACCAAACTTCATGCTCGTATCAAAAGATGTCATCAAATTTGAGAGAGGCTGGTTGCTTGCAAACCTTAAGTTTCAACAGACATGACTTTTAGGTTATTGGTTAAATCGCATTGATGTATTATTTTACAATAGTTGACTCAGTTTGCAAGCTCTTTCCGATGCTATTATCGGATTTGAAAACTTCGATGATCAAACTTTTTGCTGACCGTGCATTTTTCACACGTCCTGAATGGTGACTTCCATCATGCTCCACAGGGTTAAAATTATAAGTGGCCCTTACTTGTATGATAAACCTTTCAAAGTTCTTGTAGGTAGATTGGTAGATGGTAATGCAAATTGCCTGTCTTTTATGCAAAATAACAAATTACAATGGCTTGATTGGGAAAGAGCATGTGATCATATAGCTATGTCAGTCAAAATTTGCACATTTTGAGGAATTTCATTCTACACGCCCAGAGTGTGGAAAAACGTAAAGCGACGATAATATCAAGTCATTTGACAGGCAACGTCATCTTTTCAGTTAGGAGTTTTGTAATCTGTCTACATCAAACAAAAGATCTCGACTTGTGTAAACAGAAAGCGTTTTTTTCTCTCTTGGACACTTCAACTAGGTGAGAGATTAGCGGTCGCTGATTGGTCAAAAACAAACAACAAATCAAATGTGTCTTTCTTCCTATCACATTACTTCCGATCAACAAATGGATAAGAATTTTTAGCTTACTTTCGACCATTATCTGTCGTTTATATTTTGAAGAGTGCCTGTCTTAACCCTCTTTATTTCCGCCAAAATGCGTTCTTGCTTCATCCTTTCTCCGAACCGTGCCGTTTCAAACTCCTTTTCGTGCTCAAAAAGCTTCTGTCTTATCAAAAATTCCTCTAGAATATGAAATTGATATGCAATCATATGTTGAGTTCAAGATGACCTCATCTTATATGCCAAAAAGCTTACAATTTAAAAAATAAAAATACACACATCTATTGAAATATTGAATTCTGTGTTTTACCTATATGAAGACCTAACAACTAGTGGCTCTCGCGATGTGGCCAGTAGGCGAAAGAAAGGAGAGTGACTTTCAAAGACTTTATTGTTTTCAGGCAATCTGTGACAGTCAAATGTTACTGCAGCAGCAATGACCTGAATTTGTAGCTGGTCAAAACCTTATAAAAAAGAATCTGAGAAAGCTGTAGATTCCCCTCGTTAAAGTAAGACACCATCTTGTTCGAACTTCTCAAACATTTGCATAAGGATAGATTAAATTTCGATTTTTCATATGTCTTAAACCATCACAGACTGTCATAGACCATCAGGAAGCTGCATAGATCATCGCCGACGAATTACGATATATGAAAACCTGACTAATAGAAAACGGATTTTTCTTATATCTACAACACCTTTTCGTCACGGCTGCTCTAAACGTCAGCGGTGTATTACTTATCGAAGGAGTTCTCTGCAAAAAATAAGTTTCCGGTTTCAAAACATATATGATTTCCTTCTGCGTCGTTTCGCAATTACACTATTTAATCGCTTATATATTTTTCGCTAATTCAATATAGCTGCTTTTTGATAAAGCAAGAGAGATTATTCGAATAGGGGATTAAAAGAGCGTTTACTCGAAATAGTACGGTGAACTGTCGAGATAATTAAATCGATCATAAAGAAAAGTATTGAAGAAAAATGGGAACTTGCTCAACAAGAGAGAAATAATTAAAAGCAAACAGAAAATTTTGCCTTTAAAGAGAAAGATCAAAGAAAATCGATCAATAGCAACAAAAAAATTTTGCTCAGCAGCGGAAGATGATTCCGAAAAAAGATTAATTAGCATCAGATATTTGTTCTATTTGATAACAAAATATCACTTCTTGAGCCGTCTTACAAATTTCTTTTATGAATTGTAACTCTATGCTTTGGTTTCAAGGTGGTAGACGCTGCACATCCAATGGGCAATACCTTTCTAATTATAACCACAGAAACTGAGGCTGGAATCCTGGCTTATTCAACAACGTATCAAATCAAAAGATCCAAGACAGATTCGAGCAATCTTCAGTTTAATTTAACAACGTTCAATTTGGATAATTTGGTTGAAAACAGCTATCTTAACCTAAACCTCTCAATTTCCCATTTGCTTGGAAAAAGCAACTCAAATGCTTATGGTGTAACTCTCATGATTTATTTCAATACCAAATTTCTTCAGTTGAAATCACTGGCATTCCTCAACACAAGTCGCTTCAGTCTACCCCCGTCCAGAAACACAACCACGCCTGGGTTTATTATGATTCAAACTGATACAATGTGGCTGCTAAACAGGCAGGAATTTTCGATAATACTTCAGGCAAAGTACCCAAAGTCTATAACAAGAGGAGAAAACTGCAATGAAGATATCATCATTGATTTTGCGTATAAGAACAACTTGGCAAAATTCAATGGAACTGCGAACTCGACTTTAGAGAGGAATGTGCCATTCAAATGCAAAATTAACCACAATAGAGATATCAGGGTGAAGTCAGTTAGGTTGCCGTCTCCAGCATTCAGCATGATTTATGACGAAGTAAATCAGCAATTCTTTTTCTGTTATCAAAATAAAACACACACGACAAGAGACTCTGCCACTTGCTTTTTCACAGAGAAGCAGAATGAATTTTGGCGACAGCTGCCTTATGTTTCCTCACTGATGGGTGTTGATGTTGAAAAGAAAACTGTCTATGGATTGAGCAGATTTGGAATATCTTATGCTATTTCTTATTACCCATACAGTGTGTTTGATCAGATGGAAGATTCCGAATGGACACAAGTAAAGGATCAAGGGCAAATCAGAAAAGCTCTGAAAGCAGCCAGTGTTGATTTGTTACCATGGTCTCCAGAAAGCTCTTGGATAATAAATGAATCCGGCCAGGCGATTTGGGCAGCAACAAAAAGAGGAATCTCTAAAAAAGTAGATGGAGTATGGAAACGGAAGGTTGCTTTTGATGAATTCATATAACGAACTTTTGAGATTGACATTACCAAAAATCATATCTACTTTGGTAATATTTGTTCTTGCACAGTGTTTATCTGTTCTAGCGCATGTTTACATAATCTTAGGTTCTTGCATACTATAAACCCTCACGTCTAGTAATTCTATATTTTAACACACAATTAGTTCACTTTTGTCACAATTTGTGTTCTTAATGTTAACTTTGAGAAATGAAGCATTTTTGACGTCAAACAATAACATTTTGAAAATAGTCCTCTATTATAGCTTGCCATTTGCGATTAAAAACCCTTTCAGAATGCACAACTAATAACAGGCTCTTGCATAGAGCCTCGACACCGTGACGAATATTTGTGGCTAGCTATATTTACCAGAATTGTTAGTATCCAATATTTGCTTTCACTAAGAATTTGAATAAGAGCATTTTGCATTTCGTCGATTCAGCGAATATTTTTGCTTTTCTTTCTGTCTGTCTGTCATTGCTATTCTTTCGGACCTCTTAATCGTTTTAACATTATCTATCATCCAACAGGGAAGCGTAATAATTGAATTTCAATTTCCTAAAATTTGTCTTTGAAACTCATGAAAATCAGTTCATCGAAATAGGCCAATCAGAAACGCGAGGGCTGGACTGTTAAGGTTGCTCCATCAGTTCTAATAGCCACGTGGCATAACGGGGGCCTCTAGGATGCCTAAGGAAAAAGCTGACACGAAGCCTCGAAGAACGGACTGCAAGAAAATCCTCGTTTTGAAAACAAGGTGAATTGGCGCAACGTCTTAAAAACAAAGATATAAAATAGTTTCGAAGACCGTTTTGATCAGGGACCCATGATCATCGAACTAAGATGCCCTAAACTACGTTACACCAATTAAATTGCTTCTAAAATAAACAGTTTGGGGGTCATACATTCGTGATCGTCGAGATGGATGGATGGATGGATGGATGGATGGATGGATGGATGGATGGATGGATGGATGGATGGATGGGTGGATGGATGGATGGATGGATGGATGGATGGATGGATTGATGGATGGATGGATGGATGGATGGATGGATGGATGGATGGATGGATGGATGGATGGATGGATGGATGGATGGATGGATGGATGGATGGATGGATGGATGGATGGATGGATGGATTGATGGAACGATCTCATTCTTTGAATTAAACTTTCGATTAGTTTTGGTTTTATTATGAGATTTGCCTTTGAAAGTTTCTAACGCCATTTTTATCTGGAAACAGAATCTAGGCACTACAACTTGGCATAAGAATTGATGGATTCGAGCTGAAAATAGCTCAAAGAATACCCAAATCTATGTGCTGTAGATATATCATGACTTCTTCACCAATTGATATATCTGTATGGGGTCACACCGTGCGACCGGTAGATTCTTGCATCAGAGAAACACAGCACTTTCCGTAATATGTGAGCTGTTCCAACGATGTCAGGAATGTCTAACTTCCTATGACAGGTCTTTTGCGTTCTTTGAGATTGTTCCAAGGGCACCAATCACGATTGGTATTACTGTCACTTTCGATGCTCTGTGTTGTCTCTGAATTTTGATTGCTAGACTTTGATATTTGGTCAACTTCCCGTCCTCGGTTTTGATAATGTCCTGACCCGCTGGTACAGCTTTGTCAATTAGTGTCCACTCCTGTGTATCCGGTCGATTGCGCTGCAGCTTTCTATCTGTGTAGACAGTCGTGTCCCAGGTAATTGGAGCATCTCTATATTCTGCGACTGCTAATGGATGATGATCAAACCACTTGTCGGTACATTCTATGTCGGACTTGTTGCACATCTTCCAGTGTACCCGCAGGGCCACCTTGTCATTACGTTTCCTGTACTCTCTCTGGGCAAGCTTCGTGCATCCACTGATAATATGCCTTACAGCTTCAGTAGAGTGTCCACACGATCTACTCAGAGGTGTCTCTGAAGTCTTATCTTTGCTTTACTTGTCAAGTTTGTTCTTAAAGCCAGTTCTTAGGCAGCTAGGATCCAACATTCTGTCTCCTTTTTCAAAAAACCACTCCTAAGCCAGTATCCAAGAATTTTCTCCTGCTTTATCTGATGTTTGTCGCACAAACTCTCCATGCAGGGCTTTCTCCTTCCAGTTCTTGACTTTTTCCTCTCGCATTCTCTTCTGGTAGTCCTGGATACTCTCTTTTTCATCTAATACCTTCTCCTGCAAAGCAGCATGAAGCATCCACTTTGTGGTCTCTCTCAAATAGCCATGCAACGACTTACTCTCTTTCTTTGTACATTTTTCAATGCACATGAGTCCTTTTCCTCCTTCTTTCCTCGGGTGATAAAGTCTCGCAACATTTCTTCTGGTGTGCATACATCTAATCATTGCCAAAACTTTTCTAGTTCTTCCATCCATGCTCACCAGCTCTTCCATTGTCCAATCCACAATATCTGCACTATAACAGTTTCAGTATTTTACATTGGTGACAGGAGTGGGATTGATCGTTGGATGAACTCATAGAAGATGACGCTATTAGAGAAGACCCGCGAAGATAAGAAAAGGATGACGAAAAGAGGACACGAATCTGGAATCCCTCGTGCGATGTTGAAAGCGACTTTCACTTTGAAAAGAGGAAAGAATGTACAACCTTGAATGCCGATAATTTTTCAGACGTTGTATTTTTAGCAAGGAAAAAGAAAATCAACTGTGGAAAGTGACAACCTTTCACTGGATCCGCCATCCTCTAAAGTTTCAGTCTTTGGAGCATTATCTTGATTTTAAAAATCCATGTTACAGTACCACTACCTATCACCCTCTGATTTGATGGAGCTATGATGATCAGTCCAAGTTATATTTTTTACAGCTAATAAATTTCACAAAGGGGGGGGGTCGACCTTTGAAACTATGGATGATGTTAGTGATATGAAATCTACCATTAAAGTGGAACTGACATGAAAAATGAAAAAACTTTATAAAATCCATTTATTTCATTTTAGTATAGAGCCGGCAGTGCTGAATCGAATGGTGTAACTTTTTCCTGCATATTATTTCGTTAACATAATTTTTTCAAGCTCCAAAGTACTGGTTTTCGTCAGATTTTGTTCGAATAAAAAAACGCGGCCAAAGAGGAATTTCAGGAATTTGTGATGTATTCTGGTGTGTTCGTGCACCGGCAAGGTCAGTTTATTGCGTACTTTTGAAGGATGGCAGACATCGGGCATAGCAAAAAACAACCTAAATACTGCAAATATTGTTGTGCTAGTGCACTAAACTATACTGGCTGTTTAGGTAACAGTTACATTCCCGAAAATCAGTCGCAGAAGTTTCCGAAAGCTGAAAAAAATAGCATCGATATTGGGTAAAATTCATGAGAAGACACAGGACCGGTTTCAATCCATTGTCTTCGTCCGACCTATGACCCAAAACACACGTTACGTACAAGAATTATAACAATCCTTTGAACAATCCTACCAAGTTTCGGAAAAAGGCAGCAAGACCCAAAATTCATTTTTAGTACATTTGTTCCAGCTACTCTACGAAGTTTCAATCAATTTTGAATCGTTTTACGGAAGTAAATATGGGGAAACAAAACAGACATACGAGATAGCTGTTATAAGGCTTAAGTATGGAGCTCGAACGGGGGGGGGGCGTTTCAGATATTCTCATCAAACCAGAAATAAACAAGGGGAAACTAAATGTATTTTATGCACATTAATTTTAGTAACTCTCAAAGTTTCAATCGGTTCGGAACATTTTTACAAGTGTACTTAGGGGTTTTCTATGTGCTGGTGTCTTCAGCCAGGGGTTTCCCTGGAGCTTGTTGTTGTACAGGGAATTCGATTATTGGAGTTTTACGATTTAAATTAGTATACACTCGAAAGAAGGTTGTTCTTTATGTTGTTTTGAGTCGATTTAGTTGTCTTGCTTTGGCTCTAGTGTTGAAGATCAGTTCACATCAGGTTGTGATGTTTCATGTCGAATGTCAATTTACGGGAACACTTAGGCCGCGTCAAAAAATGTCTGCTTACCTTGGGATGTAAAGTGCGTCTTGTTAAGAAAAGAATAAATAAATCAACAGAAATCGATCCAGTTTTCTCCCCTGAAAAAACTTTTTATGATCTTTATCCGAATTAAAATCCGAATAATTAGCCAAGTGTCGGCTTCGCCACCACATGTTCACCCATCTTCAGAGGAAGGTGGTAATGGATCTGTCTCATCGGGTTCAACATCATTTCAACGTTCCCGTCTTCAAAATTTGTTCTCTCACTTCCGATACAACTTCCTCATCGTTAGCTGAAACGTTTGAATCTGGAAATTTCTTTCCCACCTTAGGTTCCTGGACATAAAGGCTCCGTTGGGGTTTCCTGACCGTAATCTATATAATAACACACCAGAATGCGTCACTCTCCCCAGACTCTTTTCGAAAAACCTCCTACGACTCAAGCCCCCCAAAAACAAACTTATGGCCCTTATTTTGAAAAAATATTTGCAGATAAAGAATCAGTGATGTTTAATGCCTAAGAAAAGACCTTTTGCAAAATTTTGATTTTTCATGTCAGTAGCACTTTAAGTTTGAGGTATTAGTTTGTTGCCGAAAAGGAAGAAAACCCAATCTGCAAAACGCACTAATGGGACCTGAGCTCTCGCTATACTGCCAATCATGATATTGGTTTGAAGTTATAATTTATGCATTTGTGCAGTGGTAAAAATTCCTTAGAAAATTCCCTGATCAAATCACTTTATTATCATTCGCAGTATACATTGCCTTCTGCATACCGTACACCCTCAAGATTAAGAATTCTTTGAAGGAAGTTATATTCGGGTTAATGGAGGTTGAACGAAGATGGGTCATATAAAAACATTCAGAAGGTTTCCTCAAAATAAGATCACCTCTATAACATTTCATGTTTTCAATGTTCATTTTTGAGAAGCAGGACCATTTTCACGACAATCAAAAGCATCGTGAAAATGTTTCCTTTATTACAGTTTGTCATGTTCGATTGAATAATCTAATCAGGAACAAATAAAAGCATGCAATGTAAAAAATAGTCATGTCAGCTTGATTATTTAATAAAGTGCTCGCTTCCAGGTATAGGGCTAATGCAAAGGAGGCCCATAAGCAGGGACGAGAGATTTTGAAGTTTTGAAATAGGCCTACCTGCCACAACTATTAACAGGCTCTTGCATAGAACTTGGACACAGTAACGAATATTCGTAAATAGGAAAATTTACAAGAATTTTTTGCATCCAATAATTTTAGTCATTAAGATATGAAGTAGAGCATTTTACATTTCGTCAGTTCTGCGAAAAAAATTTTCCTTTTGTTTTTGTCTGTTATTGCCATTTTCTCAGACCTCCTTTTCGTTTTAAGCTTTATCTAACAGGGAAGCTTAGCAATTCCATTCCTATTTTTTAAAATTTGTATTTGTTAAACGCTTTTAGAATTAATGCAGCGTAATAGGCCAACCAGAAACGCGAGGACATGACAGTTAGGGTTGCCCATCAGTTCCACTTGCAGAATGGCATCACGTGGGTCTCTAGGGTGCCTAAGGAAAAAGCTGAGACTAAGACACAATGCAAGAAAGTTCTTGTTTTGAAAACAAGATGAATTGGCGCCACGTCTTAACAACATAAATACTAAATTGCTTGGAAGACACTTTATAGTTATCGAACTAAGATGCCCTTAACTCATTACATCTTTGACTTGCCTTTAAAACAAAGAATTTGGATGGCCATTCGTGCTCGTTGAGAGCACTTGGGTCTTATTCTATTACAAATTTCTGTGGTCAACATATCTGAGTTAACCAGTTGCAGCAGACGTTTTTGGAGCTTCTGCACTAGTTCTGCCGTTTTGCCCTGTGCTACCCTTTTTTCAAATATTTTTTGGCATGGAGAATTTCCCCTACTTTTTTCGATAATAGCATATTTAGTGTACTTGTGCTTTAAAAATATCAACCAATTTTTGGCTGTACAAACTCACTTTGACAACAATCTAGAAGCTTTTTCGTCTGACACTGCTCAAAGTACAAAAGGTTAGAAGAAGGGCCATGGAAGATAAAGGTGGAAAATATATACCCATTTGTGGATCAAAATGGCCAATCAAAAAAAGCGCATCAGGAAGACTTATTCCACTTAACCCTATCCAGACTGGGGGAGGCTTATTCATCCCCTCCCCCACTTACTTAATCGAGCAGTGCTCCATATTGGTAGACTCAACTAGCACAAAGCTTTTTGACTTTTAGTTTTTATCTATATTAAGAGTGAATTTGTGTAAAAGATTCAAAATAAATAAAATTTGGGGGGAACTAGGCTGATTTTTTTCACAGTGGTCAAAGTCAAAATTTAAGGAATCTCTTGATTCACCTAATTCAGGCTCATCCCATAATCATTTTATGGAATCCTTTTTACTTTTATTTTCCTATGTACAAAATTTCAGTCATGTGTCATGTGACTTTTACTATGACATCATTTTTAAAAATAGCTGACAATTAGTTAGTAGGGTTTCTGCATAGAACTTTGAACAGAAACAATAGATAAAATTTTATAAAATTTTATCAATACGCTGTGGACATCTGCCCTGGGCATTTAAGACCCATGAAGTATATGACCTTATATCGTTGAACAGATTTCCTTGTTAGTATATCGAGAAACGCTCTATTTGTGCTGCTTGTATCATTGTTCAGAAAAACAAGATTTTTAGTCCGTCAGCCCTCAAATTAAATTTACCAACTTGAAAAAAGCGGTGACCTTGTGAGTCAATCTTTGAAAATTATTTAAATGTCAAAAATAGATGTTTTTGCATTTTTTGTGTATTTTTGTAATCATGTCTTGAATAATTATGACGTCATTTGTCAATATGTCAAGGGTCTAGATAGGGTTAACACATTATTTTTAACTGTACCAAAAGCACCCAGCCCATGAGATTCATCTGTATTAGAAGTCACAGGAGTGGGAGTCACAGGAGTGGGAAATTTTGTTTTAGTAAGACGTATCAGAGCAGAAAAATATTGATTCATTCCCTTTAGAGCCATCAAGGATGCCGTTATTCCAACAAAAAATCTCGGATAAAAAGTTTCACACGGGTGTTTTAGTCATTCCAAAATTTATGTCAATCTGAAGACGAGGCTTGCGACCAAACATAAGTTCATATAGAGAGTAACCTGTGGCATCATTTCTCGTCCATTTATACGAAAAAGCCATCTTTTTCATATGATTGTTCCATCCTGAAATTTCATTGTCTGCCAGTGTACGTAACAAGCTGATACTGAGCATTTCCCATTGGTACTAAGGAGTTGTCCAGGATCTCTTCATCCCCAGATTTTCATAAATACGAAATAAGTCGTTTCCAAACTCCGTTCCTTGGTCATGATGTATTCGACGTGGCAAGCCAAAACGCTGGATGTAGTCATTAAAGAGTTTTTCTGAAGCTGTTTTGGCGGATTTTTTGGTTGTAGCATACGCTTGGGCAAAGCGAGTAAAATGATCAATTACATCCAAGATAAACTCACAACCCCCAGCACACTTTTCCAGATGGACAAAGTCTATCGAGACCAGCACAAAAAGTGTACTCGTAATGAAACTCTGGGCTGGAGCACGGGAATTTACCACCGGTTTCTTACTTCTAATGCACTGGCACACGTTTGTAGCAAAGTGGTTTATGTCCCTTGCCATATGAGGCCAATAAAACCACTCACGAGCTAGCTCTATAACTTTGTCAGCCCCGAGATGTCCTAGGTAATCATGTAAATGTTTTATGGCGAGCCGACGGTGACGTTTTGGAAGAAACAACTGCACTTTACCATTCGATCTTCGGTACAGAATTTCATCGTTTTCAAACAAAAACCTTTTCCACTTATGCATTGCAGGTTTTACCACAGCAGACTTTGATTTTAGTTTCTCAATTGAAGGACTTCCTGACAGCTTAAAGGCTATAAGGCGACCAATAACTGGGTCATTATGTTGTGCTTGACGAATAGAGTGTAACTTCATTGGCCAGGATGTTTTCCTATAGGAGGATCCGTAAAAATCACTGATGGCCTTTTCATCGACTGTAATGCCCTTCACCCTACATGGCTGTTTGTTTTCTTGTACATAAATTGCATTTAACCTTCCTTGAATTTCGTCTTGTGAAATGTCCTCTGTGCAGGCATTCATTACTGAGTCTATGTATACCGGGCTTCTTGATAAAAAGTCAACTTCATTTTTGCTTGAACCTGGCCAATATTTGATAGTAAAATTGAAATCGACTAAGGCTGTCACCCACTTGTGTCCAGTAGCGTTTATTTTTGCTGTGGACATGACAAAAGTCAAAGGGTTGTTGTCCGTGTAAACAGTGAATGATAAACTGCTCAGTTATTGCCAATTTCAGTGCTAAAAGCTCCAGCTTTCCTGAATGGAGTTGATAGTTACGTTCAGCTGGGGATAAAGTCATTGAATCACACCCTCGCATGTGCTGTTCTTGTTTTTGGTACAATACAGCCTTAAGTCCTTCTTGCGAGGCATCCGTATGTAGCACAAATGGTTGTGAAAAATCAGGGTTTGCCATAACTGGTGGATATATTGGACAATCTATGAAAGAATCCAATGCCCTGCTGTGAATTTGTTCCCATTTCACAGGAAAACTTGAAGGGGATTGTCCATGTCTATTGTCTACCTTCCGTGCGGGCTGAGTGCGCCTTATCCACTTTTGTTAAATCGTATATCGGTTTTGCACTACGCGCAAACTCTCGAATATAGCGACGATAGTATCTTAGCAACCCTAGCAACTAACGAAATTCTACTAGTGATACTGGTTTCCAACTTTACGGATCTAAGATTGGCTTTATCCCTTCAGGGTCTAAGCCATATCAATCTGCAGTTATTATAGGCCCCAGGTAGAGTACTTCTTGAGTAAAAAGATCACATTTCCTTGCCTTTAGACGGATTCCTTTATTTTTGTTTATGCGCAGAACATTCCCCAAGTGTTCAACGTGTTCCTCTGAGATTTTAGAACTGACAATAATGTCGTCCAAGTATGGAAGGCAGAATACATCCCATTAATCGGACAGACAGTCTTCCATAAAGCGCTGGAATTCCGCCGGAGCATTCTTCAATCCCATTGGTACCCTGACCTACTCATATACAATGTAGCCCCTTTAGCGTGACAAAATCAGTCAAAGGGTGGCTACTCGGGTGGACAAATTCTTGATGGTACGCTTTTCCCTGATCTAGCGTCGAAAACAACTTTTGACCAAAAAAACTTTCTTAAGTTTCCTAGATTCTTGGTAATGGATGTCTATCTGCCGCTGTTTTGTTGTTAAGTTCCCGACAATCAATGCACAGACGCATAGAGCCATCTTTCTTGCGCACCACTGCACATGGGCTGCTACAAGATGATCTTTACTTCTGTAAAAATCCGTGGTACAGTAGGTCTTCTGTATACTCGCAGAAGAGGGCGTGGTACCCCAACATAGTTTCACTGAACAGGGCTATTGTCTATCAAATGTATTATCATCTCAAAGTCTGTTGCACAACCCATATCATCATATTCTTTACAGAATGCGTCTATTTCTTGATATAAAATTATCTCTGAATACATTCTTTCTGGTTAACGGTTAAACTCGAAGGGACTTTAGGTACAAGATCAAGGCTATAACTTTCTTCAGAGTCATCTAGCGTCATCAGAAGCCCAAGTCCTTGTAATCTTCCACAGGTTTCACTCACTGCAACTTTCATAACTACCCCAACCAAATGAAGTGATCCAATTATTGTCCTGCCCTTTAGTACAATGTCGTGGACACTTATATTTTTACAAATTACGTCTACTTTAGAACAATTACCGCTCTTTCGATTCAGTAGTGACTCGTTAATTGCATTTCCTGGGGAGAGGGGGCACATCATAACATTTCCAAAAACTACTGGAGTGTCCTTTGCAAAGAAACCTGTATTAACACGACATGATAGTTTAGCAATGTCTCCCGCCTTAATTTCTGTATATCTCTCTTGCATGTCTTTACAGTTGAAAGGTATGCTTCCCTCTCCATGAATATAACATTCAAAAGGACACTCATGTTCGTTTTATGTATCATTGGAAAACTTGCTGAAAATTTCTCAAGTATAATATATTCTGGATTTTCATAACTGCTGCTGCTTATCAGCTCTTCCAGGACATTGTACCTAATAATAGGTAAATCCAAAGTAGCAACTGTGATCAATATTGGTAGAATTACTCTATGTGACTTCTTTGAGGGTCCTTTGAGTTCAATGGTCATTTCTACCTAACAAAGATATGGCAATTGCGTTCCATTTGCTGAAGTCAACTTTAAATTTCCCCCTGACTCCAGCAACTCTTCAAATTTAAGAATTTTTACGTTTGTAAATTTGCTAAGTTTTGATAACTCATGATCGAAACCTGAGCACCCGTATCTAGAAGAACCTGGATGTCAGCACCATTTATTCTACACATCATTGTACATTGTTAACAAATAAATTTTGCTATTTTGGTTTTAGACTGGTTCCATTACTCTAAAATAGTTCTTAAAAAGAGATCAAGAGGCATTTTCGGGTAGAAGCTGGGATCCAGTTTATTTTGGGTTTTTCACCATGCTGATTACGAATTTGGCGGATCCCAAGCGAAATTTGCTAATTTAAAGGCTTAATTTGCATATTCAAAATGGCTGCCGGTCAAAAAACTTCAAGGTATAACCAAGGGACCCTCCGAACCGCATAAAGTTCTGGCAAGTAGTAGAATATAGCAAATAAAGAAAAAGTAAAGAAATTCAAGAATCTTTGTTGCATGCAGCCGATCTTGGTCAGCAACAAATTTTAAGCTTTGTCACGCACAGACTGACACCGTCTGACACAGAGCCCATGATATCCTTCAACGAACCATTAGAAAGATCAGAGCGCTTACCTTTCAAAGCCTATATGAAGTTCCAATAAATTCAAACTACAAGGAGAAGCAGACAATTTTCAAGGCCGATCGAAATATCCTCATGCGGCTGATCACTGCTTATGAAGGCGGCCGTGAAATTGATCTTAAGAGTGTGCTTTCTCATGAATTGATGCCAGTTTCTCATCTCTCACTGAAATGAACTGTTCTCTTCGGACTGGAAGCAAGTCTGTCCCTATTGACAAGCTAACGGATAGCATCAATTGTCTAGAGAGTATCGATCTTCATGAAATAACAGCGTGCTTAATCATCGATGGTCAGGCTCTAGTGGTGTTATTAGGCAAACCAAATGGTTGCTCTTCGTTTCGTGATTTAGCAGACACATTTGTTTCAAATGGGTAAACGCTACCAGAGATTTAGCAGTGCTTCAAATGGGTAAACGCTACCAGAGAATCGATGTTGTTTTTGACCGCTATAGACAACTATCAATCAAAACTAGTACCAGACTAAGGCGGAAAAAAACTAGCCGGCCTGTTCGCCGAGTTAAAGAGAGCGGTTTGGTATCTCTTCCAAACTTCTGGTCAAACTTCTTTGCATTGCCAGAAAACAAAGCAGATCTTGCACGATTCCTGTCAGAAGAGTTGCTTCGCCAAGCAACTGAAGATAAAGAAATTGTTACAGCTGGTGGATTTATCAATGAATTGCTTGCCCAGTCATCGAAATACTACACTGATACCTTGTCTTTGATTGCAGACCATGAAGAAGCAGACACCAGACTTGCCCTTCATGCTATCAATGTCACCTGCAATTACTGCATAGTAGTTGCTACTAGAGATGCAGATGTGCTCATCATTCTGGTGTCCCACTGTGAACGAATGCGATGCAATGATCTTTGGATGATGTCTGGAACGTCAAAGAAGAGGAAATATACTCCAGTCAAAGAGATTCTTCACGCCTTGCCAGAGGGACCTGTTCATACACTCATCCCCTTTCACACTCTTATTGGATGTGATACAACTTCGTACTTGTCTGGGAGTACAAAGGCATCTGCATGGAAAGTTTTTAAAGAGTCGCATGAACATGGGAGAAGGAGGTATTATGCGGAAAGCAGACAGTTTTTTTCCACGGCTTTGGTGCAGGCCACAAATGAAGCCCGACACGTTCTATTTTTCAAGAAAACAAAACCCGAGGCATTGCCTCCAACAATTGATGTGGCACATCTTCACATCAGAAGAGCACACTTCCAAGCAATGATATGGAAACAAGCTGGATCACCGCATCAAGATTTACCGTCACCTACAGATTTCGGATGGGAGCTTTCTGAAGATCGATTAAAGCCGATTCTAATGACAGTGAAGCCATCCCTGCTGCTTCTCTGGAGATGATCTTTTGCGGATGTAACATACGATGCAGAAACTCATATAGCTTAGTTTGCTTTAAGATTCAGATCAGACACTCCTTCAAATCTTAATGTAGGGTCAAGCTTCACACTGCAGGCCTTGCGCATATCAACATGAGAAGAATCCTCAAAAATTAGCAATGAAGTTTCAAGTGAAACTACAACTGTTTTTTTCTTAACAACTCTCAAGAATTATTAGTCAGAAGATAGTGTTAATTTGCGCAAGGCCTGTAATGTAGCAAGTTGTGTGGCATATGCAGCAAAGCTGAAAACAACGAATTCAACTGACCTATAATCGATTAGATTCAAGCTTGGACACACGTTAGAGACCTTCACAAAAATGCAGCAAAGTAGAACTGGATATACAAAAGGAACGTGTTCAGCCACTTGAATATTCAATGTTGACATTTCACCCGATTACTACTTGGGGAAAAATTTCATTTGAGAAAATGTCATACATAAACTTGTCGTTGGTCGAAAAATGAAGAGCCGAAAGTTTGCCATTTCTCCTAAAATTAAATGGGCTAAATAAAACTGGAAGATTTATTTCAAATGGTAGACACTAACCAGCTAGAAAACCAAATCAATGAGTTTAATTTTTGCCGGAGGATCATAGATCATCGAGAGTGCCACCATTCGACTGATTTCGATGAGACCTTTGAAATTTTGCATGACCTTTTCAATTTTTGATGGCGTGAACAATTTTTAAGTTAATGACGTCATCATATTTTTGACGTCATGTAAATCACAGAAAATGTAATAGATCAACTTTACTAGCCCAAATTGGTTCTCTTAATCTTTAAAAGTAAATTCAAGACATTTTAGAGTATTTGCACCAGCAATTAGGGGTTTAAATGAAACAATGACAAATTGGTGTAAATAAATCATGAATAAGCGATATAGATAATAAGCTTAGATGGGAATCATATCTCTGATTTTTACTTTTTGGTGCATTTTGATACATTCTAGAGACTATAAAAGGACTTAATAATTAAAACTGAGATATTACCAATAGTTGGCAAATTCTGCCATTTTCTTCAATTATGACATCATAATGACGTCATGGATGTAGTGAAAAATTTAAAATGTTCCCTGTTGTGTAGATTATGTTGCTGTACACCATTTTACCAAGTTCTATCCTCATAACAGCAATATTAGTGAATATCCTATTCGAATGCAGTGTCATGGATTTTATTGGCAGCATTTTCAAGATTTCGACTGGCAGCCATTTTGATATGCAAATTAAGCCCTTAAATGAGCTAATTTCGCTTGGGATCCTCGAAATTCGTAATCAGCATGGTCGAAATACCCAAAATCAACTGGATCCCAGCTTCTACTAAAAAATGCCCCTTGTTTTGTAATTTCTTGGAATTGGAACCAGTCTATTTGTTCCTTCGCGGTAAGTTTTGTAGGGTAAACAGGCAGAGCTTCATATTGTAAACATCCTTTCTTTCAGACAATTCTCTGATTGCAAGGCAAATTACATTGTGTTCATTTCAATTCCCTGCATCGGACCCAATCATGGTGGGTCCTCCTATCTCACTAAACTTGGCTCTTATCCTCCCAGATTCAATTTCGTGGCGCCCGCCTCTGTCCGATTCAATGGTGTGATTAAATGCTTTAAACTTTCAAGTTGTTGGAAAGAACTAATATTTAATAACTACTAAAGAAACTAGTCTATTGCTAAAGAACTACTCTCATAAAAAACTTGCCACCATGTTTGTATTTCATACATCATAAATAAAATGACTCTAGGCTGATAAAATAATGGACTAAGGAACCCCAAGCAAAACAAATTGCTCCATGTTTTTTTACTCTTAAGCAGGTATTCTGGATATAATAAACAAGTTCAAAGTGCCATCAGCCTGTATGATACATCAGTGTGAACGAATAGAATGTCTTTTGATTAGTATTTTCTGTTTTCCCTACCGTTTTTTCTCAAAAATAGGTAAACCCTCGAAATTAAGCCAATTCGAAATTGCTGGATATTTTACCGAACCATGATCAAACAGGTCAAATGTTAGGATAACATAATTTTTTCATTCATACACGCATTTCCTGTCAAACCTTCTTCATGAAATTTTGAATTCATGTTGCAAAAACCGAGAATCCCTTATTTAGAAACACGTGCTTTGTTAGTAACTTAATTTTTTGGGTGCTAAAAAGTGTTGTTAATGTAGTTAACCGCTAATTGTGTGTTAAAATATAGAAATTCTAGATTTGAGGATTTACAGTATGCAGGAAACTAGGATTGTGTAAACCTGCGCTAGAACAGATGAACACTGTGCAAGAACAAATGGTACCAAAGTAGATATGATTTTTGGTAATGTCAATCTCAAAAGCTCGTTATCTGAATTCATCAAAAGCAACCTTCCGTTTCCATACTCCATATACTTTTTTAAAGATTCCTCTTTTTGTTGCTGCCCAGATCGCCTGGCCGGATTCATTTATTATCCAAGAGCTTTCTGGCAACTCTGGTAACAAATCAACACTGGCTGCTTTCAGAGCTTTTCTTATTTGCTGTTGATCCTTTACTTGTGTCCATTCGGAATCTTCTACCTGATCAAAGACGCGGTAAGGGTAATAAGAAATGGCATATGATTTTCCAAATCTGCTCAATCCATAGACAATTTTCTTTTCAACATCAACACCCATCAGTGAGGAAATGTAAGGCAGCTGTCGCCAAAATTCATTCTGCTTCTCTGTGAAAAAGCAAGTGGCAGAGTCTCTTGTCGTGTGTGTTTTATTTTGATAACAGAAAAAGAATTGCTGATTTACTTCGTCATAAATCATGCTGAATGCTGGAGACGGCAACCTCATTGATTTTACCTGGATGTTCTTGCTCTGGTCAATCTTACATTTAAAATGTACCATCTTTTGCAAAGTTGAGTTTGTCGCTCCGTTGAATTTTGCCAAATTATTTTTATAGGCAAAATCGATGATGATATTTCCATTGCAGGTTTCTCCTCTTGATATAGCCTTTGGGTACTTTGCCTCAAGTATTATCGAGATTTCCTGCCTGTTATGCAGCCACAGTGTATCAGTCTGAATCATAATAAACCAAGGCGTGGTTGTGTTTCTAGACGGAGGTAGACTCAGGCGACTTGTGTTTGCGAATGCCAGTGATTTCAACTGAAGAAACTTGCTGTTGAAATAAATCATGAGAGTAACACCATAAGCATTTGAGTTACTTTTTCCAAGCAAATGGGACACGGACAGATTAAGGTTCAAGAAGCTATCATCAGTCAGCGACTGGAAGTTTTGTTTTGTGATATTTAGTTGAAGAATGCTTTTGTCGGGATGCAATCTTTTGATTTGAAGTGGCGATGAGAACACAAGGATTCCATCACCATTTTCAGTACTGATGACAGCCTGTCTTTCTCCAGTGGATAGTCCTGCATCTAAAACCTGCAAACATTAAATTTTTACTTCAATAAAAATTTGGATATGATGATCTTAAACGATATAACATGTGTTAGATATACATATTTAGTTTAGCTATCGTTTTGGGTGCTTTAGATAACTTTAATATATATTTTGCATTATTAAGTTCCCTTACATAGAATGATTGTTATAAAATTCAATGCTCGTAGCTATATGTAGATAACAGGGACAAAATAATAAACTTTAGTTAGTGGATCAATAAAGCATAGTTTGCCGTATGATTTTTTTAACACATTCAAATATACTACAATGTGTCAAATTAGGTTTTGAATTTAGCAATGACCTATCAGTATCTGAACAAACTAGCTCCAGAACACCTAAGTGGTTATTTTCCGAATTGCTAGATTTCCATACTCGCATTTTACGTAGCACTGGTCCAATTTACAAATGAATACCCCAAATAAGAACAATAATTGGACAAGATCATTCGCCTGTTGAACAGCCAAAGTTTGAAATGATGTTCATTCAGAACAGTGGCGGATTTAAGGGGAGCAACTAGGGGCAGTTGCCCCTCCCTCACCGACTTGAAGCAAGTCTAGCGTCCCTTTTTGGACACGATCTTGTACAATTATTGTAAAAATTTCCTTTAGAGCGTGAATAGAGAGCCTTCTGTCAGTAGTTAGGGTCTGAAATTGTTGTAAACAGCGTACTTTCGTCATCGATTTCTGAAAAATTTTCAGCGCCCCCACTACCAACTGCCCCTCCTTCAAATTTGCTCTGGATCTGCCCCTGACTCAGAAACAAAATTGGCATCCTCTATCCTCTGATTTAAATTTGGATTTATCACTTCCTAGGATCTCTAAACCCGTTCTTATCTTCATTTCCTTATTGTTAATTTTCAATTTGGATCGTAATTGAACTTTTAGTTTCATCAAATTCGTAGGGATTTTATCATAGAGGCAATTGTAAAGTAGATAATGATTTCTAAATTGTAAATCCTTCTAAATGTATTTTAAATAAAAATGTTTAAAACGAAAATATAATTTAAAAAAAATTGAGCTTGTGTTTGCTCCTCAACCAGGCCGTCAACGCTAATAAATTAAAAATAGCATACCTCTCCAGAAAAATCGATAAGAAACATGTAATAGTTCTCCTCTTTAAGTTCAAATTGAACAAATCCGGCGCTATTGATTTTTCTAGAATGGTCTTTCGCCAAGTTTACCACTCCGCTTTCCATCTTGACAGTTCCGTTATCAAATGTTGTCGACACATTCATATTACCAAAGTGAAACAAGTCAAGTTTATTTGCAAGGCTTCTGTTACTGGATGCCATCGATATTCCTACTGTTAAATTGTTCTTTATTGTACCAAATGCAAGGACAGATCCTTTGAAGTTATCATTTATAGAAAAACTTGACGATGGTGACCATTCGACACTCAAGAAACCTCTCGATATAGCACATCCAAAAAGTTCAATTCTCATACAGTTAATGTTATATGAGCTTATCCTAGCTGTGGGAACTACTCTGACCAATCTTGTTTCGAGATTACGAAACCAGTTAACACTTGTTTCAAGCCCATTGTTTTCTCTTAAAGCTGTAAACTCTAAAACTGAGTCTTGCTCGCTCTTGTAGAATTGCCAAATTATTCCATTTTTACAGTATTCAATTTTGAACTTTGTTACAGCATGTGCATTGTCAGAGCCGTGACCCTGAATCGCAATACCACTTAAAATCATCATCGTCCCAAGATCAACTTGCAAATATTCGGATACCGGAGTGTTGCTGTACGAACACCAACCCGGGCCATTGTAATGCAGTCTTGCTTGATACGGTTGGTTGTTTTTATTTTCATTTGCCCAAACAGTCTTTGCATAAAACCTAGAATCCGGTATTTTACTGGCTCGCACTCCAAGTTCATTTGAACAATCATCAATTCCATCCCGTTCATGAAAATTGTTGATGCTTATTTCAATACTTGAAGCTCCTGATCCTCCAATTTTGTTGACAATTCTCTCCCAATTCTTCCTCGCCTGGCCTGTATAGCCAACATATGCCAAAGTCATATAATTACTTGGAACTGGTGAAGTTGCAAACGTTGCAGAAACACCAACCTTTTGCAACGCAAAGGCTAGATTGCTATCTATGTTTACCCCCTCCTTTGCTGTCATCATAAGTAATTTCCCTGAAGGAAGATTGTCCAGGAAATTGGCTAAAAGGTTTCTGGAGGCCGCATCTCCATACACATCGTATGTTTTTCTGTACTCGAACAAACCGCTTCGGTAATCAAAGAGAACCACATTGATACCACGTGTATTCAAGCTGTATTGGCGGCCATTAACCATCACGTTGCCTTTGCTATTCCCGCAAGATGAGGGAGTCAAGCATGATTCAGAAATGACTTTTACTTTCTGTATGTCTGTAAATTGCAAACAAAAATATCAAATTTAATTGACTCTTCTGGTAATACCAACAATAAATTGATGTTGTGTAAACACTTGAAATATTCGGCTATTACTAAAACAGGGAATGGATGTTAAATTTCTATTATCTTCGAATGTAAAAAACAAATGCGGTATACAGGGCCATGAAAATGCCATGCAGTCCTTCAACGCTGTCAACAATGAAGTCTCATGTCTTGCCTTGGCCTTCCACCTCAATATACGCAAATATTAAACATCTCTAGAAATGTGCTTGATCAAGTTTACAAGCTTCACGTAAGACCACATCTTGATTATGGTGACATTATCTATCATAGGTATGACCCTGACCCTTTTCGATTCTCGCATACCTACTACCAAAACCTTCTTTATGAATGGAAAATGCTAGATGATGAGATCAAAAGTTCGCAATCCAATTCACAAGTTTAACGGAAACTACTTGCAATTATAAGACCAACTAAAAACCCTTTTTATGATGGCTTTGATATGGAAGGTATCATAAAGCTGACAAAGTTGCATGTGCACTTCAGCCCACTGAACTAGCATAGATCTCGAAACAACTTTGATTACCCAACTTGCATGTGTGGGAGTTGCATTGAGCATAATGAATACTTTCTCCTGCACTGCCACCAGTTTGACTTGATGCGTAGAGATCTCTTTCGTCAGTTCACCATCTCTGGTTTAGACATAAACAAATTGGATTCAAATGCACTATGCAATTTGCTTCTGTTTGAAAGCAAAGATCTAAACTTAATTGAAAACAGAATCATCATAGAAGCAACAATTTCATTCATCGAAGCAGCAAAGCGTTTTGATTGAATGCTTAGAAAGTAAACAGCAGCGATCCTCCCCCCTATCATTGTTAGTTTTACCAGGGTAGCTTGGCACCAAACAATAAATTAAACCTCGACAGAAAAAAAAATCAAACTGGACTCTACATTAAAAATTTAGGGTTTTGTATTGTTTGGTATGAAGCTACCTTAGATTAGATTCTATTTTTTTGCTAAGGTATAAAAATTGTAAGTGTCATCCAAAGTAGGGACCAGATGACCTTGTATCCTTTTCTGCTTTGGATGGTACAGTAGAATGTATCAAACCTTTGTGTTTTAACTTTTTGATATTGATAGATAAAAAAAGACAGTATATTGTTTGAGCTGTCTCTTTAAAAAGTAATATGTGGTTCTGACATTGCCTCGCTATTGGAATGGCGGCAGCCGTGGGTGCATGCCAATTTTCATCATTTAGCTCTAGTTTTGGAATTTCTTGAAATCTAACCAACTGTATGTATTGCGCTGATGTGTGTTTTGGTCTTAAAAATAAAGTACCTGTTTTCGGGCCCGATTTTCCATTTTCGAGCTCGGTTTTTTTTCAAGCCTGATTTTGCTTTTGCTTGCTGTTCAGTGGCGCAGCTGGAGGTCATGCTTGTCATGCCCGGCATGACCATATATTGCCAGAGATAACATTTTTAAAAAATATTTATTTTCGTAAGAATAAAGTCCTATCCTCTTGATGTAATAGCTCAGGCCATCCCCCTTTGAAGCCCTATGGCTCCACGCAAGAATATGGAGCCCTCCGAAGGCGCTCTTCTATTGTCGGGCATGACTAAAACAGAGGGTTTCCAATTTAGTCATGCCCATAACTATAAGCATGACCAAACCCTGAGTTTTAGTCATGCCCATAACGCTGGTTTCCTATGTTTGGTCATGCCTAGCAATAGGAGTGACGCAGGTGAGAACAAAGGCTAGTCATGATATTTCGAGAGGGCGTGACCATCATTATAATCATCAGAACCGTCCTGTGTTATTCCATGAACGAGAATGCGAGGTATCATTTATCGATGATGGCGGCGCTGCTATGGCAAATGGCTAGATCTACAAGATGGGAGGTATTTCTCCGTAAGTAAAATACAAGCAAAAGCTTATTGCTACTGTGGTCCATAACTGCTAAGCACTTAAATGAACCTGATTCGCATACAAACAAAGCAGATTCGCATTGAAACAAACCGATTCACGTGGAAAGAAAAACCACTCACACAAGATTCAAGTGAGTCGCACAAAAAGAAAACAGACTCGCAGAAAAATGAAGCTCGTCACACATTTTTGGTTTCAGTAACACAAAATACAGCAAATCGCACATAAAACAAAAACAGTCGCACAAAATTTGCAAATGTATGGAGACAAAAAAGTGACGGTGAAGGGCAAGTCACTAATCTCGTCAACGGCTTTGAAGCTAGCTCTACCATCAACCAGATTCCTGTCGTTTGCTTGGATAAGTTGTTTCGTACAGAAAGCACAATTTTCTAACTCTGCACCGGCCATTTACTTCGAGGTAATGGAAAACTACGTTTATCACAGCTACTGTGTTTTTTTTAATTGTGCAGAGTTATTTCATCGCATAGCTAATTTTTCCTCGATATCTGGGAAAAAGCTCGCGACAACTATTTGGAGTCTGGGGCTCAGGCTATGGCGTCAGCAGCTCGAAAAAACTGGAGTTGACAAATACAAATTTTCTCGGTCACGCCCTTCAGACTCTGAGAACATCATTTTTAGTATGTTTTATCCAGTTTGAGATTTTTGGACAAGCAACCTTCTCAAGCAGCATTTTTCGTACCCTAGGTACCAGACTCACTCTATGAATGAGAGAAAGTCTGGTCAAGTCACTGATCTAAAAAAAGTCTTTTTTTAGATCAGTGGGTCTAGTGCGCCCCATTCTCGTTCTGGTGTGCTGATATTACCTAATCAGGAGCGAGTGTACAGATTTCTGTACGTTCAAAGGTCATAGCGAAATAATAAACGTAGCTGTGGTGTAAAACATTGAACATAACACAACATAAATTAATGTTGGCGACCGTGTACTCGGGGAATATTTTTCGCATGTTGTGGAACTTAACACAGAACAATTAACAGCATTGACAGCATTGTAGAGAGAAGAGACGCCTTCACCATATTGCCAACTGGCTTTGAAAAGTCTCTGATATTTCAGGCAGTGTCCCTCATTGCCAAGAAACTAGCACCGAGAACAAACAACAACAAACACACGTAAATCAGTTATGACATAATATTTCGCCCCGGCATACGGGGCTTTACTTGTCGTTCTGGCCATTTTTGCTGTATTGAACTTCAAACGTGCTGATGCTAACTGCCGCGGTGACCAAGCGCGCTGCCTTCACAATAAGGACGTAGACTTTGAAAGTACACACAATTTATGAGGAAAATTACAAAAAACTTCTTTTAAGTTTTACGCGAAATTTATAAATGATTAACATTTTATAACTGCATTGTGCTAACTTGAATTTCATGCTTGGCGCATGTTTTTGTTGCCAAATGGCGTCTTACACCTGATTTGATTGGAATCATTAGGCAGAAAAGTCTATTTACACTGTGTTGATAATGTCCATTTTACAGAACTAAATAAAATGTATTTGCTTTAAGATTTCCCAAAACTTCACTGACTACCGAGTATCTTTGTTATATATTAGACAATCTGGTTTTACAGGGCGAAACCGCTGGAGTCTGGTACCCAGGGTACCTTTTTCGTAACGGTGACTTTTTGCCAGGGCGAAAATCGAAATGGGTCTGATCAGCCCAACAACCACCACCCCCCAAATGGTTTTCCAACGGATTTCGAGAAATTAGAAAATCGACTTCTGGGAAAACTGGGCTGGACATGTCCACCCCAGTCCACCCCGTGGCGACGCCACTGATCACACGTTAGAAAAGGGAAGTTTTTTTACTGAATAGAATGGATTTCTGTTAAGCCTCAGCTATGATGTTTTGCCCAAACTGCGGGAATTTCAGAAACAAGACCCACTTCCTCATCATTGGAATAGAATAATATGCGCGTATTTTTGAACTATTGGGACTGACAGCACTGACAGTTAGATATTGTAACATAACATTAACACTAAACTCCATTTTGTTCAAAAGAAGGTTCAATTCGATCACAGAAACGTGCAGACAGACTGGAAGTCCACACATAGCTAGTTATCCGGACTGCAGAGTACGGAAGTTTGCTACGAAATTTCGGATGGGCAAGAGTAAAAATTCAAGCGTACAAATGTACACAATGGCATGAGTGTCTAGTAGACACTGTCTACTTCTAGTGTACACACAAATATTAAGTTTTACATACAAATACCATTGTGAGAAACTGATTCGGTTTTAAAGGGAATGTGATTGAGACATACGCATACACACAACGGCCCTGTTATCAGAGCATACTTCTTAGAGCCAGTGGTGGCCTGGCCTTTTTCGCCTGGAGGGGCCAGCAGCAAAATGGCGCCCTTCATAGCCAACATTATTGTCTTTTCCTGAAAAGCTTGGCAGTCTGGTAATGTCCTTTTTTCAACCTTGTATGTCAAGAATAGACTGACCCCCGCGTGAGCACAGGGTTCTAAATATAGAAATTTTTTATTGGTGTGGCAGGACAAGTTGGACAGACTCATGTGCGACATTGAGTGTCTCTTCAAGAGCAGCAGCAGATAAACTAAATAAAAATGTGTCAAGAACATGTTTGGGGAGCTACCAAGAGATACCCCTACAATGTAGTAAAATGAGGGTTTTGTTCTCTTTGTAGCTGGTTGTGTTCATTTGGCACATTGAAGGGGGAGCAAAGTGCCAGATAAAATAGTTGACTTTGTTTCCCTAAACTTGTAATTTGAGGCAACTTAACAAACTCAAAACATACATATAACACAACTTACAATCAGAGGGGCAAATAAGGAGAGTGTCGGGGTAACAAATAATGGAAAGAGTCGGTCCTAGCAAACAAGTGGAGGATTCCAGTTACTCATAAGGCTAGAAAATGCGATTTCTAACATATCTTCAAGGGCGCTGGAGCCACGGGGGCAGCGGGGGCAGCGGGGGCAGCGGGGGCAGCACGGGACAGCACGGGGCAGCAAAGTGCCGTTTAAAGAAATTGATTTCCGCGCAATATTTATTTAAATGAATATTTTGAATGCTGATACCTAATTGCAAGACCAAGGTAAATATTTTTCATTTTAATTAGAACTGAAAATTGATTGGCAAAACAATTCAACCAACAAAAGTAATTTCGTTGGCAAGTTCTCTTTAACTTTCATAATCAAATTTTAGATTGCTGAACAGATTTCAGATTGCTACCAACGTTGGGTCGCATATGTTCGATATATCAGTCAAAGCATCAATGATGTCTTAAATTCAAGCAAAGGCGTAGCAACCGGGGGCACAGTGGGCACGTATCGGTACATTTATTTACTTTCTAAATAAATTTCTCAGTTAATGATGATAAAAATTACATATGACTGCAAACTGTAGATTTTAACCACCATACTCCATATGGTCCTCCTGAATGAAATGAAATTCTGGAACTTCGGTTTATTTTTTATTAACTCATCAAAAAGCGAAAAAAGTAAGATTCTATTTTAAGATTGTATTTAAAAAGTAGCCTGGGTCAATTTTTTGGAAGGGCATTGAGTCATGATAAATAGACTGGGTATACCCTAAGTGCCAAAATCCGCTGAGTCATGATTTCCATGACTGCGATGCTATTGGTTGACCTTGAACTGGTCACATGACCTCACCTTGTACTGATTAACATAACAGTTTCCATCAATAGCAAGTTGTCAACAACAGATGCCAATATCACATGAAACAGCAGCGATCACGCCGAAACCAAATGACCCCCTATAGAGAAAGCCTATTTACCATGACTCAATGCCTTTAATTGACAATAGCCCAAATTTTCGACAACAAGCATCTCTACTTATGACAGACGTGTAGACTTTTCGTAGATTTATGTTTTTTTCACACATGAAAATTTTCACTATTGGGAGGGGGCACCGCCGCCCCTTGCCCCCTGGCTACGACACTGTCTATAATATGCCTACTCGGGGATGGACATACTTTGGAAGGGGTGTCACATACTTTCACCAATCTCAGATAACTGATATATTGATCGGTAATTTGTGACTTTAAAACTTTACCGATTCTTGGTTTGATGCTATTGTATAGTTCTCAAAAATAAAGCATAGGAAGCATTTCAAAAATCGTGGCACATGTATTGAGGGGTACCCTCGCCAAGTTTCTAAATTTTCCGATTTACAAACAATTTTCGTCCTTAATTTAGTATTTCTTCATTTTATTTACAAGTTCCATTTACACAAGCAAAAAAATAATAAACCAGATAAGTGAATGTTGTATTGAGAAACATAACCTTTTCTAAAAGCAATACTTTAAAACCATCAAAAGCTGGTTCAGCCTTCCAACGCTCAACACAAATTATTGTTTACGCTCAACCTCTGTCTTTATTAAGCTGCAAAACTATCTTAGAACTTCAGCGTAAATTGAAGCGACAGTTGATCTATTTTATTAGGTTTCTTATAAACTGGTTTTTTATAAAAAGCATGTATTGTGCAATCTATCTTGGATGTAAACAGCGCGAGACAAGCAGACATCACCGCGAGACAACGAGCGAAATTATCGCGCTGTAAAAGTCATTTTGCGCGAAACGAGCAAATATCACCGCGCGAGTGATCATAAAGTTACTAGTAAAACCGGAAGTTGCATAAAAACGCACTCGAGAAAACAGCACGCAGCAAGTAAAAGAGAACATATCGAGAACACTAAAGAAAAATCGCAGCACATGCGTTTTTGCTCAACAGGAAGCAAAAGCAAAATCGAGCTCGAAAATGAAAAACCGAGCTCGAAAATGAAAAATCGGGCCCAAAAACAGGTAAAATGTTTTGAACCGAATATTCCTTTATATTGTACAAGGTATAAAACTGGTATCTTTGCTTACTGGTTTCAATATTCCCCGAATCACCGCAGCCCGGATTCCCCGGTTTCCCGATTCCGCGATTCCCCGAATCCCTGTTTAATTAATAGCAGACATTTTCTACCTTGATCAAGTCAAAGAATGCAAAATTATTATAATGAGCAAATTTACGTTATAATATTAGATATGTGCGTTGCGTTTGGTGCATCCAAAACAACGATAATATAGTTAGATTGAGTACCAGAATGAAAATATAATGGTTGATGACACGACGTTTCGAGCATGTGGCTAGAAAAGAAACAAGCCGAGCAAAGAGAAGGCGAGATTCGATAAAGAGAAAAGAATGTAGAAAAGAATACGAGATGCGACGCAACGAAAAAATCAGAGTAGGGGAATGGGAGGAAAGAATGAAAAGAGTAGGAAATGGGTAGAAAAGATATTATTGAAGGAAAATAAAATGTTTATTGAGACCATTAGGATAAAGATTTTTTAAGTTATAAACTAGACTTTTCTCCAAATTCATTCTTTTGGGGATGTCTTGCGATACATGCAAAAAGCCAAGCATGGAAATGTCGGCAGTAGAATGATTGGAGGAGTTAAAATGTTTAGATATGGTACTATCTGCATCGCTTTGGTGTTCTTCTGTCAGATGGATTTTGTTAGCAACATTTCTCAAGTGTTCTCCAAAACGGTTGTTAATGTGATGGGAGGTTTCGCCGAAGTAAAGAGATTGGCATTTTGTGCAGATGATGCAGTAAATCACAAAGGAAGAAGAACAGATAAAGTGAGATCTGATGTGGAAGGATTGGTTAGGGTCTATAATAGTGTTCGATTGGTTAATGTGTGTGCAAGTACGACAGAGGTAATGTTGGCAGGGGAAAGGATATGGAGTTGGGAGAAGGGTATGGAGTCTTTGCATTTCTTAGGATGCGATGGATCGTAGTTAAGGTGGCAATGAGCATCTGTAGGTTTTTCTTTGTCAGAAATAGTAAGGAGAATGTCCAAAAAGGTAAGCTTTCCTTTGTAATAAAGTGCTTGAACTGCAAGGCGGGGTGAAAAATAATGGTGTAGTCAATGAATTGTTGAAGAGCAGCCAAAGGAAGAGACGTTGCTCCGACAATGTCATCGATGTATCTTTTGACGAGGCAAGGAAAAGGGCCATAATAGGATTCGTAGATAAGCTGTTCTTCGTGGCCAACGAAAAGGCAGGCACAGCTTGGGCCAAGTTTACTACCCATTGCAACACCAGATGTCTGAAGATAATATTGACCGTTGAATGAAAGGGCATTAGTTCTTAGGACCAGTTAAGCAAGGCAAAGAAGAGTAATAGTTGATGAGCTTTGAAAACGGCGTCTGTCGAGAAAATAACTTTAGTGCTTGTAGACCATCATTGTGTGGAATGCTTTTGTACAGTGATTTGATATCCATAGTGAAGAGATATTTGTTTGGTCCTTTGAATTTGAGATACATATTGGTCCTTTGGATTCGAGGTCCTTTGGATTTAACATTGTTTTCAATTTCTGCTTGCGATCGGCATTTGAACTGATCCATTCGTTACAAACGATCTGTTACAGCATTCATAACTTACGAAGTTTATGAACAGAGACAGGTAGGAAAATTCCCACGAAAGGATGATTCAATAAGAGGTCTTTGTAAAATACTTTTAGAGAATTTTGATAAGAAGATAAATATGAGAACGAGAATACTAAAAAAAGTTATTTCGCTTGTCCTGTTGTAAGAGTCATTATTGGTCACCTATCAAAGCTTAAAATTCTACTCTAGCTGAATGGTATCCACTCTTAGTTTTTTCAAAAAGCTTAAAACTTAATCAGAGATACCAAGGTTGATGACAAAGTAAATCAATGTTTTAATTATTAACTTTCTGAAGTGGATAAATGAAATTCAAGAGACGATCCCTTCACGATTAGTTTATTGTTGAAAGATCTCTTCTCAAAAAATTCTTCTGCAGGTAGCATTTTATGAAAATTATGATACATTGTATGTCCTTACAGATATGTTTATGTAATATACTGTTATTGTATGTAATAGGTCTTTTAAAATATTGTGAGATATGTTGTGAGAATGAATCCAATTAGCATGAATAAATGAATGAATTCAACTAAAAAAAATTTACATGGCAAGCCAAAGTGGATTAGGAATTGTAAGATAAACACAATATGATAGCGTCGGAATACCTTTATCTTCATAGAAGGAGAATCTCAAGCGGTCTTCATCAGCACATCCATTGCTATATAGGATAAGCAAATTTCCATTGACAGGGTACAAAGCTCCATGTAAAGGATGTATACAATTAGTTGGTCCATGCTCAAGTAGAGAAAACTGGTTGAGTTTGTAAATTGTTTCTGGAGATTCACAGTCGTCAGTGAGTCGCATATATAAACTTGAAAAAATAACACATTTTCCTGTTTCAACATGCCTCAAATGGTAATTATTCACATACTCAAAGCGATCACAAGCAAATGGATTCATCAGTTTGATCAAGTTCTCTGCAGAGTTATAAACCCAACATAGTCCACCAAAATGCCGGATGATATAGTAGGCTTCCTTTCTGAAGTAAAATTTGTTGGTGTTTCCATCGCAGCCTGGCTTCAAGACAATTGCAGTATTAATTGCAGGATCAGCAACCCCATTTTCTGGATGCAAACATTTGTTAGAGAAAAGATGCCGAATCACTCGATTGTTTTCATCGTATTGAAACAAACTGTTTGTATCACTGCATTTGCTTGACAAAGACAAAAAGCTTCCATCGCTTGTGGTATTGACAGTGATGCATTTCTTTGTTGGTATGTGGATGAGTCTTGCTCCTCCCTGCCATTCGAACTTTTCTCGGCAAAGTCTACCGTAAACCAGGACCTGACGTACCTCATCGTACTCTACGCACTTCCCAAGAAAATGACGAATGTAGAAAGCATTTTTCACTAGCGTGCTGAGGCGGCATAGAACGAAAGGGTGTAGCAAGCACACAGCCGTAAGGTATAAAGATTTCCAAACCATCTCAGTAGATTAGATTCCTTCGTCCGCTTCTTAAAATGTACTTCGATCACCTAGAATCGATTTATGCGTCAGTCTTTTTCAGTTTTTCTACTTGAACTAGTTTTAGTGACATAATTCGGTCATAAATAGATAATGTATAATCAATTTATAATAACAACCCTCAGGTTCCAGAGATTAAAACTATCACTTGTTCCTACTTAATAATATATTAAACATTCATAGCTAACGGAACAAGTTTTCAACCAGAAGACCAAGGGAACAAATGTTTTGTCATGTCCATTCTTTTCACCTGTCCTGGGATGATAAGATTTTATGAATACAGGTTCTTTCAAGACCCAGGTAGAATTATTGTGCATTCTTATGACCATTATTACCTTAAACTAAAAGTGGCTCGAGATATATTCAGATTTAATTTGTTTCAATATAAATTCTTTGTCGAAGTTTTAAAGCTATGTTACATTATCTTTAGACCTCTACACTCATAAAAAGCTCGATTTGAAGGAGAGAATATAGCCTTTCAATTTTCATGGATGCACCTGTAACTTGTTTGGTATACAACAACTGCATATTTTATGCAATTTTGAAAATTGCTAATTGTCAGTCTGTCATAGTTCTCCATTCCGTATAGGCAGGAGTGCTATATAGTGCTATACAGGCTTCTGGTGCATTGGTGTATAGAACAGCATAGCTTTTGTAACATACCAACTAGGTAGGGGGTGGGGCAATTGCTTAAAACAATAGTGTGTTTTCCTCTTCTTAATATAAACAAAGGCTTGTCCCTGTAGCCAATTATAATTCGAAAAGGCTATTTAGAACAGGATCGTTCTGAGTTGCTACTCCGAGGAATTCCCGATACCTTCTTGAACAGAACAACTAAATGCAACAACACCAATAGAAATAATATTGTTAAAAGTTGGCCACAACAGGCACGTGGCAGCAAAAATCGGAGTAGCAGCTAAGAGAATCGTCCTTTTCTATACACCAAAGGCGTACTTCATCGACTATGCGATTATGGCCCATGTAATTCATCGTTTGCAAAAAGTTAGCTTTCACCATGTGTAATTTCTGATTGCAATTCATAGACATTTAAACTATCAAGCTTAAATCCCTGATGGGATCCTTTTCCATTGCTTACCTTATAACAAATATTTTGAGCTATAGGCAGTCTGCATTGAAAAAGGCATCGTACGAAATATTTTTCTAAGGGTGTAAAATCTGCCCCTAAAATTTGGCCCCAGCTTTAGTGTAGTTACGAGTTTACTGGTGAGATATAATGGCTAAGCCAATAGTACATCAGTATATAAGATATTTTATTGCCTTCTGTCTTTTGTAAAGAGAACTTTGGACTGTCGCATGTTCTCAAAACTTTGCTCCTTGTACTACATTTTAAATAGGTATGACGTACCGCTATGTAAAATCTCGAATTGAAAAGTCATGACATAAGAGTTGCAGCAATGCAAAGAGAATCGTTACAACTTCTAAGGAAGTAGAGGTCTTGTGCTTGATTTCTCTCGATTTAATTCAGAGCAGGTTGGCTCAGGACGAAGTGCATATCTAATGAGGCGGCTTAAACTCGATAACCATAAGTTGTGAAATGTATCTAAGTTACGTTTTTTTGTTTGCAATATGCAAGTGCCCCGTTTACAGCTATGCCTGCCCTAAACTCATCAATATATAAAAAGGCTAGAGTTATCATGTATATTTAAACTGTAAACTGAGAATGTTGCCAATGGAGTCCTAAGGTGAAAATGAACTCCTTTGTCTACACAATGGCGGTTTCTTCGTGCTTATGTAGAAAGATTCCAAAACTGCTAGATGGAACGACTATCAGATTTTACCAATAATCCTTAAGATCGTTAGCTATTTTTTTAAGTTCTTTTTTGCTTTCTGCTCTCAGTACTGTTTCATCGGCAATCTAACATTGTTTATTTGTTCTCCATTGATGGTTAACTCTTTCTCAATTAGATATTTTTTTATTCGCTGTACAGGATGATTGGTATTGGGGAAGAATACAGCCTTATTTGATTCAGGAGATTCTATAAGTTAGTAGGAGATTAATGTAGGAGATTCTATCATAGAAAACTCGGAAGAGGAAAAGCTACTAGGTGTTGTGTGTGATAGACATAAGACTCAGTTTTGAGACACATATCAGTAAGTTATGTAAGAAGGCTGGTAGCAAACTCACCGCCCTGGACGCTAATAAACTTAAAATCTTAATGAGAGCTTTTGTAATTAGCCAATTTGAATACTGTCCACTGGCCTGGATGTTCCACGGTAGGCACTTGAATAGTAAGATTAATAAAAATCACGAAAAAGCTCCGAGAATTGCATACAAAGACTATGATTCTAGCTTCAACACTCTGCTAGAAAATGATGACTCGGCAAATATTCATGTAAAGCACCTGCGAAATGTTATGATTGAAATGTTTAAAACAAAGGGAAATATCAACCATCCTTTTATGAGGGAGACTTTCTGCGAGCGTCATGCTGTTTATAATTTGAGAAATAATAATGAATTTATGATACCAAGGGTAAGAACAACCATTTATGGAACCGAAACTATCAAATATAGAGGGCAGCGTCTTTGGCTCTCTCTACCTCAGCACATAAGGAATGCTCAATCTATTAATGAGCATAAATTAAAAGCTGAAATGGCACCGACTGTATATGCAAAATATGTAGGACGTTCGTGCCACAGCTTGGTTTTTTGCAATTCTATCGTTTTGAATAGCTCAGATTTGTATAGTACTACCCTCTAAATTCTGTTTTTAATGGATTATTATGTACTTAAAATTTTATGTATTTAATCTTGTATGTATTTATTTGATGTAGTAGTTTTAACAGTTGGCTTGGATTAGCTTATTTAACTGTAAATAGCTATGTAGCGGCAACAAACGTGTTACCTTTGTTAACCTTTCTATGAGTGTCCTTGGCATTCTGGGAACCTCATCCACCCCTCTGTCCAACATGCTACATCAACTTAATTTTGACTCGAATCAAACTAAATTCATCTTGATGAAACTCATGAAAATTTCTATCCGCTGCACCTACTATATCTTCTGTTGTCGAAACAAACCATGGCTAAGCCCTGAACTGATTGACTTCTAAATATCATAATGCAGATAAGCCAATTATATGATGCCTGTAAAAACGAGTCGTATAATTGTAAATTTAACATGTATTCAATGAAAATGAGATGTTTAAAAAAGAAATTATTATGCCTCTTTTTATTTCAATTATTTTTGTCTCTCCTTGGCTTGTTTTTACACTAGCTTTCAATTTCCAATAGAAATTTGCTATTAATCTGATATCAGGCCATATCATGGTTTGGTTAGCAATCCCAGTCTTTTTTTCAGATTTTCTATAAATCTGTCCAGCCTAGAAGCCAGTACTGAAAAAGTGGGCGGGCAAAAGGGGCGAAGCAAAATAATTTTTAAGAAAGGTATAGTATTTCTCCTTGCAGTTTTTGGGTGTGTTCTTATAAAAATGATTTTATATGATGCTTTGATGGGTTTCTAAATCAATATTCAGAATTATAAAATTTCAATTTGAAGTATTTCAGTGCATTACTGTGAAAGTTGAAGTGCTACAGAAATCTTAAGACGGTACTACTGTTACAAAATATTACAATTATACTTCATGGTGATAAAAACATTATGTGCCGACAGACAAAGTACGGGGGAAAGTGCACTCTTTTAGTGACGCTCCTGGCAGTCAATGCGGAGTTAAGGTCGGCTTGTCAACTGAGCGAAGCAAAGTACCTCGTTGCTTGTTATTTTAAGGCAAAATTGGTACAAAATTAGATGCAGATTTATCATCTTTCTCCGGATAACGAATTTTTGCAATGTAATGAATTTTTTATAGATTCTTTGTAATCTTCCTTCACTGGTGATTAGAAACGGAAACCTCTGAAATTTAATGATAAGTGCAACGGAGCCTTATCATATGAAAGTTTTCAAGGTTGTCACTACCAAATATTTAAAAATTGATCAACCTACAATGATATCAAAGATTGTTGTTAGAAATGAAGGAAGTTTGAGTCTCTTTTTGCAGCTTGGCGTCTTCGTTTGGAGCATCTACCTTGCTCAGTGTCAAGTACAAGTATTCAAACGCAGGCTGAAGCATATCAGCAGCTGCAGCTTTGTGTGGGCTGGTTCACAGTCGATATTGGTTTGGAATGTACAGATGCAAAGACTTTTTGAGACCGACTTTTTCTTGTAGGAAGACGCCATTCTCTAGGTTTTTATGCGAAAACCCGTTTTCATCCTAAAAATTTTGGAAGGGAAAAGAGGGACAAAAAAATTCTAGTTAGGCGGGCAATGCCTCCCCGTGCCTCCCCCCCCCTTGGCTTCGTGCCTAAATCTGTCATGTCTTACCCTGTCAAACGCCTTTGTGAAGTAAATAAAACAAAGCTAGATGGTACCAAGTTTCTCTATAGTTCTTACCGTCATGATGTGTGCTTTGAAAATAGCATCTCTTGTGCCTTTTCTCAAAATGAGACCCTATAAGGGGTTTTTGAAAAATGAAATAATGGCAAGATTTCGTTATGAAATATGAAATAATGTCAACCCTCCTTGTAGGGCCTCCAAAATGTTTTCTATTGACTATGCTTTTCTAAATCCATTTGACTTTCTCCAATTCTGTTCTATAAAAGGTGTTCTTCTACAATCCCGGAGCAAAATAGTTGAGACATTTCAAGAAAACTTTATGTTTCTCTTTCCTTTGAAAAATAGCTTTCCTCCCTCCCCCAATTCAATTTTGAATGCCTGATTTTGAAGCAAAAGTGATAGAGCTACCAATCCAACTTTGCTTCGGGGGGAATGGGGGGATTCGAATTTACAGGAGCAAGGTAAAGTAGAAAATTAAAAAAATTGCACTTTGGCTCAACATTTTTGTCCGGGATTATCCCTCTCTCTCTAGTTCTCTCTCTCGCTTAGTCTCCATAGACATCTTCTTGTCTTTCAGTACCTTTCCCAGTTTCTGAAAGGCACCTTTTGCCATTCCTATTCTTCTTTTGATTTCCGAGTCATATTTCCCGTCATTCGTTGTAATACTTCCTAGGTAGTTAAATTTGTCAGCCTGTCGGGTCCTGTTTCCTCCTATCTCTAACGTAAACTTTATAGGTTAGGTAAAAAACAGCAACGCAACAACAACAACAACAACAACAACAACACGTGAAGAAGAAGCAGAAGAGGAAGAAACAACAGTAACATATATTTCGATGCATGAGTTTGTTTATTTCTATCTCATCCAGATTGTTCCATGAAATGTCTTTGTGTAGAAAAATACATCCTTCAATTCAATGGAAATTCTGTCAGAAAGTTTTCAGGCATGGGGGTAAGCATGGGATGTGGTTTTTGTCCTTCCTAAACATTGTCTGTATTAAATCAACTGACTCGAACAGTATCGTTACAAATTATGTGAAACGGATTAGATTACTTTGAGTATTTTGTATGTCTTTCAGTACTCAGGGCTCGCGCCAGGAATTTGAAAGTGGGGGGCCAAGGCTAAAAAGTAGGGAGCCAAGGCTTCTTCAAAACTACTTGCTTCGCAAAAAGTGGGGCGGTGGCGCGGGCCCTGGTACTTAATTGATTATTAAAATTGTGTATATTTATTGAAAGTTACACGGTATGGAAGATCTTTGATGCTCTGACAGCCCAGTATGAAATTCCATGGAAGCTGCACTCCTGTGAAATTTTTTGTAAAATAACGGGTGCACACACCCGAAAGATGTGGTATTGTTTGGGCGTTTTTTAGGTGTGGCTCAAATTGAAAGTTGTTTTTCAAATATGATCTCTGAGATTTTGTTTCTATCACTAAATCTTTTAGGGCATTAGGGCACTTGTTGTTGTATATTTTGTGAGTCAGGCAAGCTACACGTCTTTCATAGATATTATCAACAGTTTTCCAATTTGTTTTTTTTGAGGCAGCTTGTGTATTATCTTTGCTGCTCTCTTGTGAACTGTCATTCACATTTGATTTAAGTATTAACATAACTAAACATTTACTAAGTACATTATAAGTGTTTTGAGTTTAGGTATGTTTTAGCATTTTCAGGTGCCTTTTTATAAGACTGCTTAGAACACATTAATAATTTTTGTCTGAGCAGATGTTCAACAGGCTAAGAATGTTAATTCAGCACTTTTTACCTCACATGGAGTGATTACCATCATTTTTTTGTGAGTGATTCTCATCAAATTAACTGAACTGGCCATTCAAACCTTTCAAATACAATGTCTCCTAAAAATATAAAGACTTTGATGATTTTTTATAGAAATGTTACCTAAAAACTAATCATCACAGTGTTTGGTCCCTTCCCTCAATGATATGTTATGGCAGATTTTATATGTTGAGATGCCCAGACAAAGGTTGTCAAAAATGAGAGACATTGTCCAAAAAAAGGAAGGAGAAATTTCATTGAAAGATAATCAGGCAAAATTTAATTTAGCAAGATGAATTTTTTTCAAATTTGCAATAAAAGTTTTACAGATTTCTGGCTGATGACTGAATGCTAGATGATGACAGAATTCCATGTTTTTATTATTGTTAAAAAACTAGGTTATGCCAGATACTGCCATGGCAACCTGTTTGGGTTTTTGAAAGAGGTGATTGTTGTTTCATCAGGCAGTTTTAGAATCTGTCTACATAAAAATGAAAAAAATGACATTATGTTTAAAATTAATCTTTTTTGTGGTACAAAACTTGAAAATGGCTTTGAAAAAGCAATACTTTTGGGTCATACTTGGGCTTTTTGTCTTACATGCTTCAGAATATAACACATCAGAACATAGATAAACAACTCTAGCTAGGAAATATATTCAGTTGTGAATTAAAATAGGTCAATCAGAAATTGCAAGCACTTGACTGTTGAAGTTGCCCAGTCAGTGTTGCTTGCCTATAGAAAATGTTACCAATGGAGTCTTAAGGTAAAAACAAGCACCTCCTGTCTACAAAGTGATTTTTTCATGATTATATAAATAGATTCAAAAACTGCTAAATGGATCAATGATCAGGCTTTGCTAATTATTCGAAACATGTTGCCATTATATTTCATTGCACAATCTGATTTTTCTAGTAATGCTGCTTGAAAGTGGAATCCCATGTTTTACTTGTTGTTTATGATCTCAAAAACTGAGGAGGTCTAAGTATGACTCAAAATGTATTTTTTTCAAAGTCATTATTATGTGGACAGAAGTTGTAACATTTTTGCTTTTGCCATTTTTAAATTTTGTACCATAAAAAGATTTATTGCAGTTGTCTCAAAGCTATTTGATTTGGCATTTTCAAGTTTTAAAGAAAGTTCGCTGTAGCTGAAAGGGAAATTGCCCCTAGTTAGTATGTTAAAAAAGCCCTGTATTTATTTCTCATTCAATTATGTTGATGCCTTGCTTATTGAATAATATTTTCTTTATCTTTTACTCACAGAAAGGTTGAAATCTTCATTGCCTCTGAGAGACATAAGAGTTTTGGACATGACAAGGTTTCTACTTAGATTCTGTTATTAAGTTCAGTTTCCTGCTTCAATCTTTTCTTATTATCAATCAGTTTGTGAAGAAAAGATGTGTATAGATATATGTGTATATTGAACATCTTTGTGTATATTGGACATAGTATTTCATTTATATTCCAAGTCTTAGACATTATCATTATCATTACAACACAATTAAACTTTTAACAATAAAAATCCAGCTAGTTAATAATTGGATACAAAACTAATCCATTATATATCAATACACAGCCAAAACACACAACTGCAAAAAATATAATCAAGCAGCAAGTAAAATAGTCAATGAGATTTAAATTCCATCTGAAATGCTTATAGAAAACTTTGTTCTAAATAAATGAAGATCAATATATGATTGATAAGTTCATTGAAACCATGGAAAATACAGAAAAAAATTGATGACGTATCATTGCAAGCTCACGTTACAGGCTTTACATTCAAAAAATTTTTGTTAAGCTTAGAGAGTCTTCTAGACATGCGAAATATTGAAGGCAGCTTTGAATGATATTGGTTTGAGTCTCTTTGTGAAAATATGTCAATTTTTTGCTTATAAATTGCAGAGTTCTTGCAGGTCCTTTCGCAACAATGGTCCTTGGCGATCTTGGTGCTGAAATCATAAAAATTGAACGGCCAGGTGTGTTTTTTCATGTTAAATTTATTCAATCTATTAATTTTCACTTTTGTTCTATTCATTTAATGCCGGTTTTAAATCATCTAGGATCATTGACTCTGATTCTATTCATGGTTCCGAGATGGCATTGTCAATTTTTATCATTCTCCAAATTGCTTTTTTTTTAAGTGTGAAGTGAATGTTAGAATTAGAATATTCCTGTTGAAATCCGTGCTGCAAATTCATAAAACATTTTCCCCAACTAAAAAAGATTGGCCGTTCCTGTCGCAGAGCTAGCTGCATAGATTGTCTTTAGTGGAGTTATATTTCGAATGGAAATGATGCCAACTGGGACTAGGGATTTTAGAGGTTCCCTCGTTAAACTTTTACGACTACGACTACATCCCTGGTTCTCACCTAAAATCATATCAGACTCCCATTTTTAAAAAAAACATATTTTGTTTGATGTTTTTCCTAGCCAACAAAAAAGTTTTCTTCCAAAGAAAATTAAGAAGATTTACATGAAAAAATTTGCGAAATGATATACAAACAATACGATACCAATTCTGTTAAAATTGCAATAAATCCGTCAATTGCACATCATTTTCATTTATTATGGCTATCCGTTATATATTAAATACGTAACTGCAGATGACTTGAATCGGTGACAATGTAAATTGTAATGATAATTTGGCAATGAAAGGCAAGGCAAATGTTGATAACGGTGTTCTCTGTTTAAGGGTCGTTATTATTTTAATGGATATAGATGAAAATTTTTTGTCGGAGTATTCTAGAATTTTTGCTGTTTTCATATTCATCTTTATTCTTTCAAATATTGCAATGCTAAGAAAAGATTGTAAATAAATTTTAAAAAATTTAACGTAGCGTTCCGCATCTCCTTCTTCTATGATGAATTGAATCAATTGTTAACGTTCTATAGACCCTGATGACGTTAAGTTTCTTATCAATTCTGAATTTTTGAGTATGGAGAAAGGGTTGTAATTCTGCCACCAGACATGACAAAACTAATTTGATGAAAGCTTACTGGAAATTTAAAACTATTTAGTGTTTGTTGAATCGTTTTACCTATGACCATGAAAACAAACCAAAACTCAGATTTTGGGATAGATTTTCAGGAGGGTCATGGTACCTTCTGATAGAAGATGGTACCTGATGATGATGATGTTTGTTGAATATTTTATCAAAGCTTTACCTGACAAAGGCCCGACCGCACCAATTAGTTGAATTATTGCCACAATCATATGCTACTCTTTCAACTGTCTCGTAGCACTTTTGTAATCCTCTATCCTGCTCAACGTTCATAAATGTTCTTCATCCATATTTGAAAGCTCAGTAACTTTTTGTCTTTTGCCACGCATAAAGTTTCTTAAACTTTTTTCAAATGAGATCGTTAGGATATTTTCCAATGCCATTATCTTTATTTCGCAAGGCAGAGAATCATTTAGATAGATGTTACTTACATTAGTGGTTTGTAGAGCTTCAGTCTTTCAAATTTGTTATTAAGGTTCTGGCGACGATACAAGGGCTTGGGGGCCACCATTCCAGGGTAATGAGAGTATTTACTTTATGTCAGTCAACAGAAACAAAAAGGTAT